TTCTCTCTCTTCTTTTTTCTCTGTTGCTTCCACCGTGATGGATTAATTCACTCCTAAAGAAGGTGCATTCTTTTTGCACTTTTTCTCCTCTGCTCTTTTCTCACTCCCGTGTTGGTTTTGAGTGCTCTTGTGTTGTTTTTACATAAAGATGAAGTTAAAGGTCTTGGGGATGTGCATGTTCCTCCATTTCCATATAGTGATGTTATTTGTTTTTAAAACTCAAAGTCAGCTTGTTTTCTATGTGTTCACATGGGCCTCGAGTCATCTGATACCTGAGGATTTTTCTGAAAATGATCACCTAACTCTTAAGTAGTACCATCATCTTTCATCTTAAAGAGACTGGCAGATAAATCTTTCTTTCCACAGTGTTTCTAAATGGTTGTTATTGTTTAAAAAACATAAACTGAATTTGTACTTCCTAAATTTTTCCCAATCCAGTAGGCCACAGGCCGACTAGACCTCTGTTGAAATACTGAGTTAAGTAGACAGGTATGAATATTCAGCTGCTGAAGTACTCAAAATGCATCTTTAGAAGTGTAACTTTAATTTTGATACTGTATGTATTAAATCAGAAAAATGTGTGAGTTTTTATCATGGCGCTAACAGAATTTGAAATTATTTGAACAATGAAGAGTAAGGTTCTTAGAATTGTATATAGTGCATAATTCAAATGTTCTTTGGCATGTTATGTGTGTACACCTGTATGTAATTAATATAAAATTTTAAAATGTCATACAGTTAATTTAACCAAAGGAGAAACAAAATTTGAGAAAGCTGGTAGATGTGAAGATACTCCATAGACTTTTCAACTTCTTTCTCAATTTTAAGCTCATGCATCTTTTTTGCAGGCAAATAATTTTAACAAAATATATTTTCATAATACATCTATTCCAAATATTCTAAACCATGAACAGAAATAATGTATTTTTTATGTTTCATAGTATTAAAACAATGTCGGGTGGCATTTTAAGTGATATTGATGAACAGGTTTTTGGCTTATTTGGTATGTCAATGCTATAAGACAACAGTACATCCAAAAGCCGCAATAAAACTTCTGGTGGGACACTGCTTTTGGATATAAAGCTATAATTAGATCTGTGTTTTCATTTTAAAAAAAATAATATATATATATATATAATGCTATGTTGATATTGGGAGTGATTAGTGGAAAGTTGACTCAATTATATCAAAGCTATTTTGGGGATGTTGATAATCCTTTAGAGTACCAGATTATGTAATAAATTGGGCATTTGATTAGCCTTTCATAGGTAGCATTTGGATAATTTTTCAAAGATGTATGTTTTTTGAGAGCCTGTATGGAGGAATTTCCACTGGAATTTGAGAACATATTAGTGAAGTTGAAGTAATATAAAACCTTGTGGGGGGAGGAGGGGAGAAGAAAAAAAATAAATCCTCTATTTCTGAATTGTAAGAAAGATAATTTATAAAGACATGATGCCTGTGACAGATGTTTTAATTGATCTTATTTTAAGGTGTTTTTCTAGTGGAAATCAGTGTAATACAAACCTTATGGAGCCAGAAATGTAACATCTGTGTATATATACAGTTAAATGCTTCTAGGACAATTTTGTAAACCTGGACAACCTACACCAAACACCTCAGGCCCACCAAACCAGAGTGGTTGCATCTCAGCTGCTGACTGCTGCAAGTGCCTAGCCAGGGCTGTGTGCCTGACCTATGGGAATTGCTTGGACAGCCAGAGAGCCAACCCTCTGGTGTACCAGGACTGTTCTAGCAATATTTTCAGTGTAGATGATTGATTCTCAAGCCTAGGAATGTCTTCAGACTTACTAGATTTGCTAATATAAACATGGCCATATTTCCCTCTTCTACTTAGTAACATTAATTTAAAAATCTTTTTATTAATATGAATTTATGCTAGAGTATCTGAAATAAAACTTGTAGCATTCTGTAATTGGTACCTGTTTGTAACTACTCTCTTGGCACTAAAGTTTAAGAAAATAACTCTTCTTGGTTAAGCCACGTGTACATGGGTGTGGGTGTATACATGGGCTCTGTGTATATGCATATGCATGCTACATATTTTTTTCTTAATTTTCAAACAATTTTATTTCTTTTCAGTGGGATTCCATAACTGAGATGGATGAACACAATCATCCCATTCATACTTACCAGGTATGTAATGTGATGGAACCAAACCAAAACAACTGGCTTCGAACAAACTGGATCTCCCGTGATGCTGCACAGAAAATTTATGTGGAACTGAAGTTTACTCTGAGGGACTGCAACAGTATTCCATGGGTACTGGGAACCTGCAAGGAAACTTTCAATCTCTACTACATGGAGTCAGAGGAGTCTCATGGAGTAAAGTTCAAGCCAAACCAGTACACTAAAATTGACACCATTGCAGCTGATGAGAGCTTCACCCAGATGGACTTGGGTGACCGCATTCTTAAACTCAACACAGAAGTTCGTGAGGTTGGGCCAATAAACAAGAAAGGATTTTATCTTGCTTTTCAGGACATTGGAGCATGCATTGCTTTGGTCTCAGTCCGTGTTTATTACAAAAAGTGCCCTTTCACGGTCCGTAATTTGGCTATGTTTCCTGATACTATTCCAAGGGTTGATTCTTCCTCTTTGGTGGAAGTACGGGGCTCCTGTGTGAAGAGTGCGGAGGAACGTGATACTCCAAAATTGTATTGTGGAGCAGATGGGGATTGGCTTGTGCCTCTTGGACGATGCATCTGCAGTGTAGGATATGAAGAAGTGGATGGCTCCTGCCATGGTAAGAAAAAAAGTCTTATGATGTTGTATGCACAGCGTATATCTCATTGTGTATTGAAAATATTGCATCATGTTTTCAAGGAATGTCAGTTGTCCAGAAATAAGCAAGGTTATTTGAAGTCATGATATTGGGCATTGCTATAGTAACTAAAGATGACCTTCACTTGGTCTAATTTTAGGTGCCCACAGTGTGTTGATCAGCTAGTCACCTTGACTTGTTCTGTAGCTACTGTAATTAAGTGCTGGCTTTGGAGTAGGATTCCTCTAGCATGTTTTAGATATATATTGCAGGATGAGGTGAGCAGTGACTTAAAAACATCATTTTTACCTCCATATACCTGGAAAGAGAATCTAGGCAATTAACTCAGATTTTTCAAGATAAGCACATAAAACCAGTGGAGATTAATTCACCTGAAGAGATTATTTCATTATTCATGCTTCTGTAAGAAAAAGATTTTGAATGCCTTCGTGAATAACATTCATGTTAACGTAGTAGAAAATCATTAGGTATTAGATTCAATTGGAGATGTTAGAAGCCCCATTCAGGATTAATGCAAAAGCTTAAAATCACAGAATCACAGAATCCTAGGGGTTGGAAGGGACAATCAAAAGTGTGCAATATTGTTCAATCACAGTACCTAAGTAATGCTTTATATCTAATACTGCTTTTTCACAGAGACTAATGTACAAATGTAGTAACACATTTTTTTGTGAAGTAGGTGTCAGTGCATCAATTATTTGATGAGTGTTTTTTGCCACTGTCTTTTATCTTAGGAGTTGTCTATCTGAGGATAGCTGTGCTTGGTGAGTTCTCTTCAAGAATATTGCAGGGACTGTATGTGGTGCTGTTATGTATAGATCAATACAGCACTGCACCTTGTCACTATTAGAGCACTGGAAGAATGTTTCAAATCAAGGTTTCAACATGGAAATTAACTATAAAGGGGAATGCAGGTTATTCCCTTAACAGCCCCTCATTTTCATAGGTAGACAATGAACACACCCAGGAAAAGAAAGTATGTCTTTTGCACAATCCAAGTGTCATTGCATGTCTTTTTCCTGCTCTTAAGAGAGGTGGTTGTGTTTGTTGAACTTAGTGATAACTGGATTTCATGCATAAATGGGAAGATGAAGTTTACTTAAACTTCTGTGCTGTTTAGAACATCAATGCATTGCTAAAAGTTGGTAAATGCTGTGTTATACTTGAGTAAAGCCCAGGATCCTGGGCTATTCTGGATTCAATTTGAGACTACTATCTATGAAGAACATGCATTTGAGACTTATTTTCCACTTACCAGGACTGCTGGATAGATGACACATACTTCATCATAAAAGGCATGCATATTTTTATACTGCAAAGTTTCTTAGTAGTTAGTTTTTAGCTTCAGAAAGAATTACTAAAGGATATGTGTAATTTGTATGTTCTTCTACTGTACATAACAGTTTCAAAGTGACTTGAGAATCACATACCTCAGTAGCTGCTGAGCTACCACTCTGCTTCAACATTTGCTTTCTAGCAAAAATTAGAAAGAGTCCGTATCCATGAATTACACAAGGGACATGGCTGTTGTCCAAATATTTTGCTTAGGAGCTCCTCAGATTTGAGGATATTAGGCAATGTTGCACAGCAGCCTTGGATAATATAGAGAACTAAAGCATAGTATGCATTGTAATCAGAAAATGAAACGTGTTGCATAATCTTACTGGTTTTAATAATCAAAATGCACTCATGGTGAAGATATAATTTTGGCATTGCTATTACTGGAAGCAAGGATAATTTTGTCCATAAGGTCGAAAGTTTTCTCTCTTAATCAGGTAAGGATTTTTTTCAAGACACTGATGCTCAATGAATTTTTGTCCATTATGTGAGTGAGTTATATTCTAGAACTGTACCTACACAATATAACCAGCAATAAAAGCCCTCAAAACAGTCAGGAAACTTCTCTGCTGTGCATTGACTCCACTTGTTTATTCAATTGGCAGTTCAGTCTGTTGCTGAATAGGCACCTCTTAAATTATAAGAAATACCCTAAAGCTGTGAGTATTTGCCCCAAGAGTTGATACATCACTATTTAAAGAAAACTATAATCTGATGGAACTTCCATGTCTTTTGAAACAATTTTCATAGGTGTCTGATGTTGTCCTTTTAGTCATCTTCAGCATGTTTTAAGAAGAGTACTATTTTTTCTGACAGATTTTCAGTCTGTCTTGCCTTCCTTCATTAATGTCACGCCTAAGGCAAACCCAAATGGATAAGATACTTTCAGAACTGAAGAGCAACAATTTAATTTCACTAGTGCCCACTCTTCAACTCTTGTGCTTAAACAATGAGTAAGAAGGGTTACTGTCCAGCTGGTCTCGTTGCCCTTTATGCTAAAGCTACTGGTAGAGGTGCATGCCCAGGCAGCTGGGAATGTATTTTATACTGTGACTGTTTTGAGCATGGTGATCTGAACTGAGATCAGCACCAGTGTTGAGAGTAATCTTTCAGACAGTCTTAATGTCCTATTTTGAGACTTTGATTCTTGGCTGAGGCACGTATCACAAATTTACAGTTTAAAAGGTTTTTCAGTTATCAATACATCTTCAATTAATTCTGTCATACCTGTTAAATCATGAAATATTTGAACGTTACTGTCTAAGGGAAAATTTTTAAAATTTACATTTAGCTTCTTTTTGTATAAGCAGGGGGTGAGTGAAGGGTTGGTGGGGAAGAGAAAAGAAGCCACTACATCTTAGGTCGGCTAAGACCTGAGATGTGCTTAAACAATCTTAATGTCTTCTAGGTGGCTCCCCCAGATCCCAACCCAAAGCTCTTTTGTCCCTTCTTTTCATCTGCTGGAGTTAAAAATCTGAGTCTCAGAAGTATTTTACTTTGTTTTGTCAGTGCTCCTCACAGATGTACTCTGTGACACAGTCAAAACTTGCAGAGGGTGTCAAACTTTAAATTACACACCAGCACATCGTTCAGTGGGGAATAATAAGGTCTTTGTGGTGATTGTGGCCTATCTGTCACAGAGTTGAAGTAGTAAAATTGTGTTTTGATATTTGTGGAGGTACACACTGTATTCAGGAAGAACTAAATGGTATAAAGATTCATATTCTGCCTTTGTCATTGCTCATAGTTTCACAAAGCAGCATGAATGGGAATAAAAATGTCTGATCAGTTTTACCACTGTTATTAAAATCATAGGGAAGCAAGTGGCATCTGAAAATAACCTAACTGGCAATATTTCAGTTAATTCAATATAGGTTGGTTTTATATGAATCTCTCTTTATCTATTAATCTATCAGTATATTCCCTCTCTCTTGTATTTGCTTTTAAAAGAAGTATTATTTCAGAGTGAAAATATCATTTTAGAGTGAAAGTGTCTGAGAAGAATTCAAAACCGGCTTAAAATATCCATACTTATTAAATGTATACCCCAGTGTGTCTAGAACAGTTCAGAGACACATTGATAGAGGATTTTTCATTAATTTGGGGACTGTCTTCCTTTGCTGAACTCAGTGGGGAAAAAAGTCACATTGATTGAAAGTGTTTCACAGTTATTTGTGTGTCACAAACATTTCTTAATGGCATAACCTGAAATCAATCTGTCATTCTTTGATTTACATTTAATGTTGAGATTTTTTTTCCTCAAGATCATGAATTAGCAGCAGCATTCACATATTCTTCTGTTTCTTTAGGGATTAAGAGACAAGTTAGTACCAATAATTTGGCAATGCTATTCATAAATGGGAATCTAATATGAAGTGCTTGCTTTGCTAAATCATTGGTACCAGCCCCACTCACAAGTCATAGCATAGTTGGAGGAGGTACTGCACAGGATTTTAATAAACATCAATTAAAAATAGCAAGTTCAATGCAATATCTTTTCTGAATGTGAGTGCAAGATAGGTTGTGCTAAATTTAACAAATATATTTTATATATAGGCCATGTCAGGGAAAACTATATAAACTTAATTACAACAGTTCAGGTTTTCTTAGGTATGATATAGTAATAGTTGTGTTACTGTTAACTGAAGTCTGATTCTTCAATGATTTACCAAAAATAACGTGATTTAATCAAGGTAAGAAATTAACTGCAGATAAGAAATCAATTGTATATAGCAAATACTTATTACTATAGCAATTTCAGAATTCATTTTAGGTTCTTAAGTAATCAAACACTATGCAGAAGTGAATGGGTTGCCCAGGGAAGCTGTGGATGCCCCCTTCCTGGCAGCATTCAAAGCCAGGCTGGATGGGGCTTTGAGCAACCTGGTCTAGTGTGAGATGTCCCTGCCCGTGCAGGGGGGTTGGAACTGAATGATCTTTAAGATCCCTTCCAACCCAAACCATTCTGTCATTCTTTGAATGCATTGAGCATTTGTTTAATTGAAGAAACACTTCTTTCTGCTATTTATTACTCAAATTTGTGGTAAAGTTTCAATGTTAGTTTTTTGGTCTTGGCCTGTCTTTATCCTTTCCTTTTGATTAAATTTGAAAATATTTTAATTTTGCAAGTGCAACCTGACCTGGTCCTCATATACATACCAATATAATGTGTTTGTTACTGGATTACCAAGGAGTTAACGATACAGTCATGGTTTAGTTACTTGGCTGCTGGCAGTAAAACAGAAGAGAAAAAATATATGTATGTTGGTGTGATAAATTTCCACATAGTTACAGAGATACAATAAAGAGTAAGGTTCCTTTTGTTTTTTCTCCCAGGTATTTATATACTCATGGGATATACTCTTCTTTGCCTTTCTGTAAGCACCAAAGGAAGACTTGTAAAGGAAAGCTGGGAAAGTTCTCTTGGCCCTGGAGTAGATCCCTAAGACAGAGAGTGTAATTCCCTGGCAACTCTGTTGAATACCCAGAGATGGTGATTTCTCAGAAAGGCTGAATGAGTGGAGGACTGACAAGATCCACTGACTGTTCTTTTTCTGTTGTGAAATGGGACAGGTGTGGAAGCTCCTGGGACTTCTTGCAGTGTCTGTATTAGCTGATATGTT